TGAGGTCTGTCTTATCAGGTAAATTACTGTACACAGTGTATTCATTAATTTTCATTTTCATGTAGTGGCTCTATGCCTTCATAAAGGACGTACTTTTCCTTTGTTTAAGGGTATTTGGGCAGTTTATTCTCTGTTATATTCTGTACAAGTAAATACTGTACAAGTACAGTACAGTATTTTCTGAGGAAATACTCGTACTTATTTTTTTTAACCCCATTCCCGATAACTCGGCATTTTCACAAACTCGGCCACCCTTCGGTCCACATTAGGTCGAGTTTTCGAGGTTCTACTGTATCTCTAATAGGTCTCTGTGAAATGATATATAACCATATGAAGAATAATTACCGTAATTTTTGGAGTATAAGTCATAGGGGTAAAAATAGGTTGTAAATGATCAGCAGATAAGCCATACCTTTATATTAGCTGTACTTACTCTTATTTGCTGATAAATATTCAATGTTAAAAAAACAAATGTCTATTAAAAAGAATTAGTTATAATTATCATTCAAAGATACAAAAAATGAAATTTGTTGACAATTTCAGAGTTTGTTAGTTTTGGGCCATTAAATTAATTAGCAGTAATATTGATTTATGAAGTTATCAGAATTAGTGAAACATCAATAATGATATTAGCCAGTGTTCATTTTTCTGAATTCAATATTGGAAAATATAAGGATAGTCAATTATTTGATATTGTCAAACACTATTAGTTCAGATGATGCTACCACTTGCAGTGATTCATAAATGATGTGAAATTTTCTACATAGTCACATTTTGTATAAGCCAAAATCTCTCTTTTCCCATGTGAAAACAAATAAGGTAGAATTTACACTCCAAAAATTACAGTATAATTGACAATGGAATGTTTTTTGGCTTTGAAGACAAGAAAAAAATTAATATGTTTATGAATTCATATTTTTCTTTACAATGAACAAAATTTTGATTTTTTTTTTCTTTAACTGTCTCACATGAAGCCTAATAATCTTCAAAGACATACATACATACATACAAGAAAGACATCAGTGGTACACAAAGTGTTTAGCTGGCAGAAAAGAGGGTAAGGGAAAGGAGAGAGAGTACAGAAAGGTAGGATCCCTCTGAACAGTATACATATAGCTATAGCTATATGTATACTATATGTACCTTCTATGTTTGATGTTGGCATGCAGTTTTTAGGCTACAAGGCAATAGTCTCCCGAAGAGTCTAAAAGAAAATCTCAGTGTAGAAAACACATTGAGTGCCACCACGAATAACTAAGTGTAGAAATTAGTGCCTAGTGGCTGTTAGTAGGAAGACTTATATCTATTTAATACTAATAAAACTGAATGTGAGTGCAAATCTCAATACTATTAACAGTTAGACAGACAGTGTGAAAACAAATGAACACAGTGACAAACTAGACAAGATGAATGGACCAACAGAGACAAATAAGCAAAAACCCCCAAAATTTTTTCCCTTATTATTATTTTATTTTTNCTACAACTACGCGATTTATATTTTTAAAATAATTAAATTCACTTAGCATTCAAAACTTGTGAATTTTGAAAAAAACAAATTTGCTGATTAAATACGGACAACCGTTTAACTGAAGTAAAACGGGTTTTCCCCTTGCTATGGATGTCTGCCTAGTTCAGTTCATCCACATTCCGCTACAGTTTGCCTTTATTATCAGTTCGAAATGGGGTGGTTCCATAATACCCGCAGTATTCCATAATACCACCTTCTCCTCTATACCAATTATATATTATAGAAGTAATCTTTTGTTAATATTTTCAGTTACTTTTGTAATGTTTCTGAATGTAGACTGTTGTTCCAAAAATTTTTGATGAATTTAAATACGACCCGAAATCTGGTATGCCAATGTGTGAAGCTTGTCATTGGGGTTATTGGTGCACTGGGTAGGTTTGGAGTTAAGATTTGTGTGTAAAAGTGCTCGGAACATGCAATTCTTAGAAAAGGGCTTTGGTTCTCCTAAAAGAGATGACAAATGCCAAGACAACATGATTCCATGCTAGGTAAAACCAGTTAGCTCGTGCACAGGTTTGATATGAGAAGCAGATATATTTAGCATGCTTGGAATGGACAGAATTATCGCACAAACAGCTACAGTGTACAAAGCACAAAATAAGAATCTAATGTTCTTATTTCGAGCTAACCAAGGGTGGGAATAGCCAGGAAAAATTGAAATGGCATGTTAAACGATCATAAAATGTGAATTTGTACAGTTTTATAAGTGAAGATATGTAAAATGTGACCAGGAGATCGAAAATAGCAGAAAAACTTTCACTGTCCCATAAAGTGGCATATTTCATAACCTGGGACTGCATCTGTCCTGACAATGCTGGGTCAACAGAATGGCACTGTAATTCCAATTTTATAGAATATTTTTTTCAAGAAAGCTGTTTTCCTGTTTTGTAGAATAGCTCACTAAGAATTTTGATTTTAAAAAATTTTTGAATAAATGCAACTGATATTGAAAGATTGACAGAAAGTTCTAATTTTGTAACAAAGAAACAAAAGTGAATCTTATTGAACATGAATAGAAGATATTAGAAAACTAGGAATAATAGGAAACAAAATTAGCAGATTGACTAGAGACTGAATGGAAAAATTTAAATATAGATGTTAATTCAATAATGAAGTGTCGTATGTTCAGAAAGGATATGTAACAGATTTGGCGATAAACTGGAAATTTCAGTCACAGTTTAAATTTAATTTTTGCTTTTCAGGCTGCTATATATATATATATATAACAAAGGGAAAGTAGGGCAATAGGTTAAAAAATAATTCCCCAAAGATTTTCACATTTTTCAACTTGGGACATTGAAATGTCAAGAAATGCAAAAAAGTTGGGATTTCTTGGATACATACAAATGCATTTCTTGCTTCTGTATGTATGGGAGACATGATTTTGTTCACCCAGTTTGAACCTTTAATAACTCCTGTGCCTTTTGTCAAAAATTTGTAAAATTTTGCAGGGAGGTTTGTTTCTCAGGGGGGGGTTGATGCTATTAAAGTTTGGTGGTTAAAGGTCAGACCAGGTGGGAGGGAGAGTGGGTTATATGTATAGTGACCATATTTTTTGGGGGAAAATAAAGGACATATCGAAGAAAATAAAAAATACCTTATAAAATTCATAAGTTTATAACATTTATTACAAAAACAGTAGCATACAACAATGCATACATTAAAATTTTAAACAATCTGAATTATTTTGCATACACACACATTGTAAAAATTTAAATTACATTAATTTTGATATTTTTCAGTAGAATTAATTTTTTTTAATAGCACTGGTTCACACTTTAAAAAGTGACAAAATTCCATATAGTTCATTTGAAAGTTGTATTTGACAGAAATATGTGCTTCTAATGTGCTTACTTTTAAATGGGTTTTTTCATTTGTCCATATATTATTCACCAATGAAAATATTCGTTTGACATGGGCATTAGATCCAGGGAGACATGAAGAAAATTCTACGATTTTACAAATGGTTTTGAAAGCAATTTCTTTTGCTGTAAAATGTTCAAAAATCTTAACCCACCTTTGATGGCAGGGGTTGTTATTCTGTCTCCATTCGTCGATCTTTTCGTTTGTGACGTATTTTTTTACATGCGAAACTTCATCAAATAATTCACCATTGAGTATATTTACAGACCAATGATTCAAAATAAAAATATAGCTTTCCTCTACCTTTGCCTAGAAAGGGATTTTGCGTAATGTGACCCATTCAAACACCTCTATTTCAATAAAAAACATTCCAATTATTTAGGTAATCTATGTCGTTTGATAAAATGTGTACATCATTGAATTTTTTGGCTTGTATATTTTCTGATTTTTCTAATGCTAAAATCACTTTCCTAATAACAATAAGAAGAAACCCCTCATTTTTTTCTTTCAACTAACTTTAGCTTTAATTCCTTTAGAAGTATGGATGTTTTGCACATTGAGATTTCTTGTGATTCAACTTTCAATACATATTGGTGAAATATTGAGGCTTGGTTATCAATAAATAACCATTCCTCTGCTAATGTTTTGTTGAAAAAGTTTTTCAGAATTGTGGGACATTTTTCCAGATTCAAAAAGTATGATTTTAATGGATTAAATAGTTGTAAAATTCTATCTAAAGCTGGTAAAAGACTTAGCCAGCATGTTTTGCTGTAACCAAGAAGCTTTTTATATTGAACCTCTGTGTCATCACAAAATTCTCTGAAATCTTCTACTCATATTGTGTAAATATAGAATTGTGAATAAATTTTTACTACTATCACTTCAATATCTATTGGAAGATAATCTACAGCAGTGCTTATGCAATTGTTCAATATGTGGGCAGCACAATTAACTCCTATTAATTTATGTCTACTTGATTGTTGCATTTTAAATAAAACATTATTCTTTCCTTTTCTCTGGGAACCAACAAAATTGCTGTTGGTATTGTCAACACACAAAGCGAGTAATTATTAATTTCAAATTTTGACAGTGATTCCTTGATGCAATTTGTTAATATATCTGAAGTTTCTCCAGAAAGATTATTTATATTCAAAACTTTTACTCTGACATCACAATTGGGTAAAAAATATTTGACCAGAATTGTGCGCAATTTAGTATTACCATGATTCGAACAATTTGAATAAATAGTTATATAATTTGTTTTGCTTAAGTCAGTTTTAATTGATTCAAAAGAATATGGTGTGAAAACATTACAAATGATTGCTTCCGTTTTTGTTCTTGCACAAGAATATTTTTCCTCAAAACATATCTTAATCTATACTAATATTATAAAGAGGTAATGTTTGTAAGTAAGTTTGGATGTAGGGGTAATCTCCGAAACTACTCATCCGATTTCAAAAATTCTTTCACCAATATTTAGAATGGAACTTCAGGGTGGACATAGGCTGTATATTACTCCGTAAACATTCATATAAATTAAAACATATCTAGGGCTAAGGCTTTTATGTCCAACAGATGGCGCTATGAGTACAATGCTCTAAGTTTGCTTTTCTGTGAGGATGAACTAAAGCAGATCATCATCTATCTTCTATCTATCTATATAAATAAAAATGTAATGTTTGTTTGTTCTACCGATTCCTTTGAAATTTTGAAACAATGCTGCACTCGAATGCGCACAATATACATGTCGAAATTTTCCGCACTGGGGTGAGATGGACAGGATTAAGGCTTACAGTAAAGAACTCTGCTTCTATTTATACTATTTCAGATGCGGTTTTTTTACGTTTTTGATTGCGTTTTAATAGAGTATGTCAAGAGAATGTACACTAAGAAGGATTTTTCGAAAAATTTCCCCGGGGGAAGTGTTATACATTTATAATAGATATATTTTGAGCCACAACAACGCGTGGCGGGGTCTGCTAGTTAATTTAAAAGAGCAGTCGTTTGATTGAAATGAATAGTTATGTTGTATTGAGTGATAACACCAAGATGCTTCTTTTAGTGCTGAAGCCTTTAGGTTGTCATCAGAATTTTTATTAATGAAAAATAAGTTTAACGATTTGTTTGTTGAAGCCTGGATGTCCGCTTCTTTGTGTTTTGTTGTCTGAATATGTTGTGTAATTGCTTATCTGCCACTATTCTCAATATTAAAGCTGGCTAAACATTTGTTGCATTTGATGTCACCATCCGTTATTTCCTTTTTAATAAGTGGAAATTCTTCTTGTAATGTTTGAATAAAAATACATTTTCTTTTTGGTGCCGTGATAAATGGCCTACAAAATATAAATTAAATAATACCTAAATACAATAAAAATTAGAAATAATAGACTGAAAACTCACATGCAGTCCCTGTGTAACTAATTAACGCTGTGTAAAAGTGTAGTAACTGATGTGAGGTCCCAGTGTGTATTGTCCAGAGAAAAGGAGTGTACTATAAAGAGAAGGGACACTCAACAGTAAAAATGTCACATGCTTGAGGCCCTGAAGATTGCCAACAAGTGGCAATGAATGCTCATCAACGCTCCAAATGTATCATCCACCAACTAGAGAGTTAAAAAACTATCACAAAAATCCCCATAAGAGTGTCTACCTCTGGTACTGTCAATGGACCGTTTGGTTGGCAACACACTGCACTACCGCACTCTATGTAACAATGCACAACACGATGACAACACTGGTCATGATGGTGTAATGAAACTAACTTGTTCAATATATTATTATAAAAAAAATTTTTTAACTTTGCGCTGACTTTACAAAATAAAGGACGAAATGCCTATTTTAGAAAATAAATAAAGTTAAAGGACAAAGCAGTGAAATAAAGGACTGTCCTCTTAAATAAAGAACATATGGTCACCATATTTATATGTGTATCTCAAATGGGGTAGGACTAATGAAGATTTTGCTCATTATTAGCATTTACAATATTTTATAAAAGTCATCTCTATTCTCAAAATTAAGCTTTTTGCCATTTTATAGTAACTAATAATATAAAAAGCTTTTATAAGAAAATCTCATAGCATGATGCAACAGGCATTTTTTATTTTTGCTGGGGAAGTCATGCAACTCATTTCTGAATTTTTTAATTAGAATATGTAAACATTTTATCTATTTTGTATATATATTAATTTAAATTAAATTCATAATATTTTCTAAAATGTATCTAATGGAGTGTAAAATTGTTTCAGGTTGGAGATGCAAAACTTATGGACATCGAACTGGAGATAGGGAATGTCCATTATTTGTCAGTGGAAATGCTGCAATGGAAAAATTTAGATATGTAGGTATTTTGAAATTATTATTAATTTATTAATATAATTATAAAAACTTAATTGAGTTTTTTATAGGTACATGAAGATCCAATGCATAATTTTATTAAAGAAAATAAGAGAACCGAAAAAGAGCAAAGGTAATTTAATTTTAATGTGACTAAAGTATCTTTTACGAAATAATTTACTTATTTGCTTTAAGGAAGTTACAGGTAGCTCTAAATTAGATAAGAATATTGTTATGATGATAAAAACTAGGAATTTCTAAAATTTGTATAAGTTTTTTGTTATACATTTCAAATTTTGAGATTCAGATTTTGGAGTTTATTGGAAGAACTTATGGTGACTTGGCCAGGGATGATATTGAGTTTCAAAATTGATTTTTTAAATTCTGTTACATTCATGTTACGTTAATTATGTTGTGATTTTTTTGGTTGTTACTTCCTTATAAGAGTAAAGAAAAAAAATGTAATATTTTGCAGTTGTACTTACAAAATTCACTAAATAAACAGATAACTTATTTTGAATACAATAGAAAAGAATAACAGGAGTTATAAAAATGAAGTTTTCAGGTTCTATTGAAATATTCACTAAGCACCTGTGTTATGTCAAGATACACAAATTTGGTTTAGTTGACAAGGTTGTATTTTTCTTGTGGATTTTTCAGTTTCCATGTTTAGTATTTTTCTAATGATTAATCAAGTCAGTCATGGAAATCACCATTTCTGTGTGTGTCTTTTGTAATCTGTACATCAAATGTCAAACCTGGTCACCATCCATTTCTTTTCACAACTTGCAAAACTGAGCATTTTACTGTTTGTTTGTTTTCTAATCACCTGTTATGTATAAATAAGTAACATAATAATTCTGCATCTGATATTGCCTTTTTTTTAGTTTGAAAAAATGTACAGCACAAAATATTTTGTTTATCCAAAGTAATCTTTTGATTTAATCTGTTTGCATGTGCAAATGGTAGACATCTGATTCAGGCAAAGGTATGTGAAAGTACATGGATTTCTAAGTATGCAAACCAAAGATTTAGATAAATTTCATACTAGCAGACTGTATGTTAGTACTGGAGGTTATCTTGGCAATCATTCCTTAAGATTGTAGTTAAAACAAGTTTTGCATCAACACCTAGAACTTCCTTTGTTTTGATGTAACAGTTAATAGTTAATTTTTCAATAGTCTTGAACAAAATGTTTCACTTTTAATTGTCATAAAGACTATATGTTTCTGGCAGCTTATAAAGAAAATGATGATGATTCCATATGCTACTGCTGCATACAAAGGTGAGATAATTGTCAAAAGGAAATTTTCATCATCATTTTATGCTCTGGGATACTATCATTTTTTCTTAACAATTGTGGGATGGCTTAAGTTATCTGATATGTATCTTCTACCTTTCCAAGTATCACAGTCCACACTAGAAACATTCAGTTTAAAATGGTTCCAACTCTCACCTTGTCTCATGTGTTAAGAATTTAGTATTTATTTTCATTGTAATTAATGTGTATAACTTTTTGTGACAATCTAATGCACTCTTTGTTTCTTAATGTTTCTCTGCATGCTCCTTACCTAAAATTGAGTGAAGGAAAAATTATCCTAGCAGCCAAGATCTTTTCCTCCATGTAAAAATATTTAATTCATTCAGTTTCCATGATCTTCTATAAATCTTGGGATCCCCTTATTACAGTCTGTGGCCTCTGTTAAATGTATTAAGCCTGTGAGTGGTTGGTGAAAATTGTTGGACTAGTCAGCCTATGAAAATTGAAATACAGATTGGAATTGTATAAATATATAAATACAAAAAAGAATAACTGACATTATAAAATTAACAATAAAAATAATTTTGCCGACTTGTAAGTAATGCTGCATGTTTATGATGGAATATGATAGTTAAAATCCTGTTTTGCTTTCTTTCTGGAATATAAAATTATTAAAAATCAAAATATGTTACCACTAAACTGTACTGGTTCATAATTTCAAGTCCCTAGCATAGTATTGTGAGAACCAAGGGGGTTCAGGCTCCTCCCCTCTTACCAGCAGCTCTTGCCAGATATGGCTATATAGGAGGACTAAAATAATATGAGTGGGGAGGTCTGTGAGTAAGTCAACAGGTTCCCGAATAAATACATAGGTTAAACAGCAATAACACGTTTAATAAACAACTAGAGATTATACGTATCGAAGGCAAAAGCAGAAATGATATGCGTATAAATAAAAAAGGAATCTATTCTAGATCTACGTTTTATCCTAAACTAAAGAACGAGAGAGACCTCTCTAAGAGGAACGTGTTGGAGAGAGAGAAAATTCAGTCAAGGGTTTACCTCATGGGATTTGATCTCGTCGTATTAGGCGTTAGTAGGACGCACTGGGATTGGAGGTTCTTAATTGTAGTTTCCCTTGGATGGTGGTATGGAGCGACGGACGGTATGGCAGTATGGAGCTGGTAACTCTTGATGTCTGCTCGGCTATGACCAATGTGGGGGGGGTATGCTCCGTTGATCTCCGACTATAGAGGTTTGCATGGATATGTCCTCTTCGGCTGTCCGCGCCCTGGCTGCCTTCAGCTGTCCGCCCGGAGGTGCAAGTTTGACCCCTTTTTATACTTGTCTTGGAGGGGAAATCATGGGGGAAGAAAATCTGATGCAATCGCCAGCTCGACTTGCGTCCAGCTGAGTTTGTGTTATCATCACCCTTTCCCATCATAAATCTGTCCACACTGTCAACTTCTTAAATTAATTGCTGCAGGTGGCCAATATCAGAACAGCTGAGAGTTTTATAATCTCCCATTTTGAGAGTAGAACTTCCACCGACGTGTAGGACGACTGTGAAAGTTAAAAAGGTCACCTTTTGAAGTGATGCAGTATACTGATGGGTCAAAAGGTCTAACTTCAACAAATTTGAAAAAATAATATTTTAATATTTAATTTCTCTAAAAACTCCCAAAAGAGTCCAGATTCTCACAGTATCATATTTTGACAATTCATATATACATTTTAAAATTTAAACTTTAACCATCTTTTGTGATGTATTAATAAATTATTTTAGATTTATATTTATATACAGTTATATATATATATGAACTATATAGTATATATAGTTCCTATGTTATTTACAATTGATTTAAATTTATAATTTGAATATTTATATTAATAAAATGTTTTGCTTACATTAAATTATAGAATTCAGAGACTAAAATCACTTTTGGAGTCTTCAACATCATCATCATCGTCGTCGTCATCCTCATCATCTTCATCTAGTGAAAGTGATTCTTCTGAGAAAAAACGAAAACATCGCAAACGGAAACACCATAAGAAACATCAGAATAAGCATCAGAAGAGAAAGAAACACAAGAAAGTAAAAAATTCGCATAAAAAATCGAAATATTGAAATTATATAAAAATTACAGCATTAACATTTTTGACAAATTACAGCCTTTTTTTCCCAAAGTACATGTATGTATTAATTGTATTTACAGTACAGACAAATTAAACATATTTACAAGAATTTTTCATTTATTTTGATAATGTAAGCAAAAATAAATTTCTTACATACTTAATAATTTGCATCAGGTGATTATTTTTTGATGTTAGAAAATAGATTTGGAAAAGATTGTAAATGATTATAATCATATTTTCTTTCTCTCGCAGTTTATAATAGAATATTATAATGTTTTAACTGTTTTTGAACTTAAAAATTCTAAGGTAGTCACAAGCAACCTGTGGCCCCATGACATCCTAATATGCATCTCTTTTGAACTTTTGCAATGTAATTTTTAAGTGTATTTTCCTGTTTTGTCTGAAGCCATTACACAATCTAATTAAACTGACATTCATGATGAACATTCAAATGACATTTGAGTAGTGAAGAGATGCGAATAAACTTTATATTACTAACTAGTTTGCATATCATTAGAATATATTAATTTAGTACCAGTGTACAGGCAGTTAGAGTAAATTGTGTTGGTGCTCAACAGGCTTAAGCCTGCAACCCATAAGAAAAAATTGTGGTCCACTAGAAGCCTACAAAATTTCCTTGCAATCCTTATCCAGAAAAGATTGCTCATCACTGTTCTGAGGATTAATTTTAATAACTAATTACAGTAGCCCCCCTATAATTACGATTCCTATAAAACTGCGAAAAAATTGCGACGGTATTTCTATAAATCTTGGGATCCCCTTATTACAGTCTGTGGCCTCTGTTAAATGTATTAAGCCTGTGAGTGGTTGGTGAAAATTGTTGGACTAGTCAGCCTATGAAAATTGAAATACAGATTGGAATTGTATAAATATATAAATACAAAAAAGAATAACTGACATTATAAAATTAACAATAAAAATAATTTTGCCGACTTGTAAGTAATGCTGCATGTTTATGATGGAATATGATAGTTAAAATCCTGTTTTGCTTTCTTTCTGGAATATAAAATTATTAAAAATCAAAATATGTTACCACTAAACTGTACTGGTTCATAATTTCAAGTCCCTAGCATAGTATTGTGAGAACCAAGGGGGTTCAGGCTCCTCCCCTCTTACCAGCAGCTCTTGCCAGATATGGCTATATAGGAGGACTAAAATAATATGAGTGGGGAGGTCTGTGAGTAAGTCAACAGGTTCCCGAATAAATACATAGGTTAAACAGCAATAACACGTTTAATAAACAACTAGAGATTATACGTATCGAAGGCAAAAGCAGAAATGATATGCGTATAAATAAAAAAGGAATCTATTCTAGATCTACGTTTTATCCTAAACTAAAGNATACGTATTTTGGAAATGTTGAGTCGGATTAGTCTAGAATCGATTAATTTTATGGAAGAAAACCTTTCAAACAGCCGTAGTCCGTAAACTTCACACGTGTCGGGCTGTGATTGGAAGGACTCGTAACAAATCAGATTCCTAAAGAATGGAACGTATCTATGATCTTATAGGGGGGTCGACTGTAGATTACTTTCAATAATAATGTTTTTTGTGGATATAACCAGGCTATAGCGATGATTACATTGAAACTGAAATGCACATGCAAACACACCCATACATAACAAAGGAAAATAAAAGTTTAAGAATAAAGATAAGACATGCTAAAAATTACAGATCTAGAATTGATTGTATTGTATTTTCTATTTTTTTGTTGTTAATATTTTCCTTTTGTAAATAAAAATAAAATAAAAAATATTTTAATAATTGGAAAAATTAACTTCATTAAACTTCCAATAAATTACAACACTTCTGAAGTTTGAATTTGCTCAATTAATTCAATAGTGAACTTATATGACAAGTGAAATCATCATTCACAATCAAAATGTTTTAAGCTAACCCAATCAGTTTCTCAATCTAACAATTTTTTTGTATGTTCATGTCTAAAACTGTAAAAATATAGTTACAATCATAAGTTAACTAAATATATTCATATACAGTAGAAATTCATTAATTCAGAATCTACATAATCTGGCACTGCAAGTCAGCAAACTGTATAGTCTATATTGTATTGTGCTGAATGAAAATTGCTTTATTAGAGGCAGCCATATGTTTTTGTATTCCTGAGTGATGTATTTTCCACACGCCAATGCAAGAACAATGCACCTAAAAACAGGTTTTTCAAATTTGGAGTATGTGTCACGTTTTACAATCATATGCATATAATTCATGTCTGGAAAATAATTATGTACACACAAATCATTGTAAATGTTAATTTTGTGCAGTAATGTATGTGTTCATTAATATTTTCAATCAATTTTGACAAAATATAGTCATGCATCTTCAGACAATTTAAAGGGCTTGTGTAAAGAAATCAGAAGCATACAAAAACATGCACCACTATAAAATGTAGTCTTCAAGTTCTGAAAGTGCACTGTTGTTGTGGATTATAGATTTAAATGGTAAAGCCTATCAATATTCCTTCCATAGCTCTTTTTTTTTTTTGTGGGCTGAATAAAATGTACAGTAAAACCCATGTCAACCAGAATCACGATACCAAATATTTTTTATGTAGTTTGGCAGGTTTCCATTTTGAACAGGTTCTTTTTTAACACAGAAAATCATTCCATTCTGAAGAATTTTTTTCTATTAAGACTGGTTTTCTTTTTATTCAGGTTCCATTTTGGACAAGTTTTACAGTACAGTAATACCTCGACTTATGCTACCCTTACGTGAATCCGGAGTTATGCGATTTTCAAATTTCATCGATTCGTTTTTTGTTTGAGCGCCATGCAACTCTTAATTACTCACTCTCCCCACACTATTGTTCATCTTACATGTTCGGACGTGTTGTGTAGAATTGATACATAGCTACAATTTATTTTGTGTTATTTATTTCTGTGTTAGTCTCTCAAGTCTCCGTAGATATAACAATGTGGTGATTTCTTGTAACCGTGAACGAATCAAAAGACAAGATAAGATTAATGAGAACATTTATTAGCTTACATACATTCAATTTTACATAAATTGCAATACGACTTTGATTTTACATAAATTGCAAAATTATACCCTGACTTACGCGGTTATCACTTGGTCCCACCTATCGCTTAAGTTCGGAGTATTACTGTACTCTGTGTAATTTAGGTAAATATTTTAACTTTAACATAACCAGAAGAAAAAAATATTTATAAAATCCAGAATTAGACAATTACTGCACAAATATTTCCCACAAATAAATTCCCAATACACATTTTGTCCAGTTGCACATTAAAATATGTCAATACAATGCATTGTTAGAATTGCTCTGGTGCAACTGGCAGCAAAAATTGTTTTGTCTTGTGCAAGTTACCATTGAACCAACACTGAGTAGGCCTCATGTCTTGACAGCACTAATATAGACCAGTCTGCTCATTTTGAATCCTGTACTTTAACATCTCATAAAATGTTTAGCAACTGATAAAAACTTTTTAATTAGATCAAGCAAAAAATAAAATTTGTGCCAAATTTTATTGATTATTCTGCAATCACTTAATAGGGATTTTTAGACAATTAAGCAAACTTGCATTCTTTCCAGTTTCAACAATCATCCAAGACCAAGAATTACTTAGAAGCTAGTTAACAAATTTTTCTATTTATACACATTTTAGATCAGTGCCTTGTCCAATCCCTCTTCAGTAAAAAATGTAATCCACAAGACAAACCACCCTTTTTCATTTTCCTATCAGTCACTAGTATTTCTGACAATAGAAAAAAAACTTATTAAATACAATTCTACATTAACATAAAATTATGATTAACATGTTCACTGTTTTGTCATCTGGATTAACCAAACAGAAACAATAAAAACAAGATAAAAATGCAATGTAGTATTTGAACCTCAATAATAATTTATAGTTTACAAACTTCTAGCAGACTATAGAAGTTGCTTTTGACCAGCAAAAATTTTATGTATGTAAGAAACTCACTCAGTTCTTTTCTGAGTTTTGCTATATTAGAACAATGTAAGAAGCAATTGCAATCTACCAGGGACTTGCTGGTATGCCACATTCCAGTTATGAGCTTCAGTTTGAGGACTTACCAGAAGTGTCCATCAGTTCTTCAGTCCCTTGTCCAAGCTACAGTTAAAATAATTGTGTCTATTTCCTGTATGGCCTGATAAAATCTATTTTATTTCTGTATGTCATCAGTGGAGACAGAATTCCACAAGCCTATCAATTTAATCTTTACCTGGTTATATAAGGACTGTGCTCTGAATATAGCTATTAGGTAAGATATTGATAGAGACTGTACTGTAGTAATCACAGATAAAATATATACAGATGATTACAACTGGAAAAAATTTAATGATTGATTCTTAGAATGTTAAAATTTGTGAAAAGTGGGCATCAAAAGATTTTGCAAATGACAATACAGTAGAACCTCGAAAACTCGTCCCTCGATAACTTAGCACTCCGGATAACTGGTCCACACCTTGGCAGGGCAAAAAAATCCTTAGTTAATTAATTTTCATTATAGACAGCTTTATAAAAGTATAAAAGCTCTCATAAAGTATTTTTCTGAGGTCTGTCTTATCAGGTAAATTACTGTACACAGTGTATTCATTAATTTTCATTTTCATGTAGTGGCTCTATGCCTTCATAAAGGACGTACTTTTCCTTTGTTTAAGGGTATTTGGGCAGTTTATTCTCTGTTATATTCTGTACAAGTAAATACTGTACAAGTACAGTACAGTATTTTCTGAGGAAATACTCGTACTTATTTTTTTTAACCCCATTCCCGATAACTCGGCATTTTCACAAACTCGGCCACCCTTCGGTCCACATTAGGTCGAGTTTTCGAGGTTCTACTGTATCTCTAATAGGTCTCTGTGAAATGATATATAACCATATGAAGAATAATTACCGTAATTTTTGGAGTATAAGTCATAGGGGTAAAAATAGGTTGTAAATGATCAGCAGATAAGCCATACCTTTATATTAGCTGTACTTACTCTTATTTGCTGATAAATATTCAATGTTAAAAAAACAAATGTCTATTAAAAAGAATTAGTTATAATTATCATTCAAAGATACAAAAAATGAAATTTGTTGACAATTTCAGAGTTTGTTAGTTTTGGGCCATTAAATTAATTAGCAGTAATATTGATTTATGAAGTTATCAGAATTAGTGAAACATCAATAATGATATTAGCCAGTGTTCATTTTTCTGAATTCAATATTGGAAAATATAAGGATAGTCAATTATTTGATATTGTCAAACACTATTAGTTCAGATGATGCTACCACTTGCAGTGATTCATAAATGATGTGAAATTTTCTACATAGTCACATTTTGTATAAGCCAAAATCTCTCTTTTCCCATGTGAAAACAAATAAGGTAGAATTTACACTCCAAAAATTACAGTATAATTGACAATGGAATGTTTTTTGGCTTTGAAGACAAGAAAAAAATTAATATGTTTATGAATTCATATTTTTCTTTACAATGAACAAAATTTTGATTTTTTTTTTCTTTAACTGTCTCACATGAAGCCTAATAATCTTCAAAGACATACATACATACATACAAGAAAGACATCAGTGGTACACAAAGTGTTTAGCTGGCAGAAAAGAGGGTAAGGGAAAGGAGAGAGAGTACAGAAAGGTAGGATCCCTCTGAACAGTATACATATAGCTATAGCTATATGTATACTATATGTACCTTCTATGTTTGATGTTGGCATGC